TGTGCTGTCTTGTAGGGATAGACGTACGATGCTAAGTCGCTAACGGCTAATCGAGACGCGCGATGCTACGTTGCTAGCGGCAAATAGAGATGTGCATTTTTTAGTTTATGAACGTGGGATGTTAAATATTTATGCAATAAAACCAATCGGAGTTGATTGTAAATGTTCTTAAATATGTTAAGTATGTTTAAATTCATTTTGAAATTAGGAAAGATGTATTTTGTGAATGTAAAAGAGAAACATGATTGAGAGGAGAATAGAATTAATTTGTATAACATGATTCATATAGTACTGTTAAAAAAACGGCACACTAATGGTGACATGAGGTCTTAATATCTCATGCTATAGTTGCTTATTATTTTGTGAGCAGTATTATTAGTTACACTTAAGAAAAGAGATATAATTCTGTACAGAAATTCATGATTGTTGGTGACTTGGTGCTCTGCTATGCAGATTGTTTTTTTTTGTCTGCCGAGTGCTGGATCTGCGTCGAGTTATCAGCGGTGATTTCAACCAGGTTTCCCATCAGAGGCGTGGCGGAGTTGAAGGGGATGTTAATCCTCCACTCTCATCACCTGTTGGAGAATTGCACATACCTGGAGAGGAGCCTGAACAGCGCGCAGTAACAATTCATTACACACACACTACCCGGGTAGCACACACATAAACACAAATTGACTTTGACTGACCTGAATGCGAATTCAACTGACTCTTTCAACTTGATTCACTGAACTTTGATACAAGAACAGCTATACGCTGCGAGAGGACAATTTATGTTGTTGTTGTTTACTATTTTTTTCTATTATTGAGGATTTTGAAGCAACAACTGTTTCCACTTTGTTTTGATGTTGTTGGAATAAATCTACTTGTGTTCACTATATGCTAACCTCCCCTCACTCCTTGAGACGAATTAGGACACAGTGTTATCCCAAGTGGTTTTACAAATCACAAAGAGCTACAAGGTCAACACATGCTCTCAGTACGTGTCCACAGGATCCGTCTGTTTCTCACATTGTGTAGTGAAACGTCGTGTTCTGGAGCATCGCGGGGAGTTTCCAGCCTCGATGCATAACGTCGCCTGCAGCTCATTAACATGAAGCAGATTTGACTTCAACTTTATGTAAATTCAGCAAATTTTGGCAAAATCACCCCTGTGGACATGCAGCATTAGGCCTTCATAAGAAAAACAACTTTGCACCAAACAAGCCAAGCAATGCAGTCCCGTCCTCCATCACTGTTCACCAAACTTGCTTGTGCGCTGAGCTCAGAGATGAAACCAACTCACAAGTACTAAAATCTGCAGTTCCTCCAATGGCCACTTGGGGCTGGTTCTAAAAGTCAGTCAGTCCCCAAAGACCTCCATGTTAGAATGTGCAGCTTTACAGCAGAAATAAACATATTTACAAACTGGTGCAAACAACACCTTGGTCTCTATAGTTAATGTCTCTGTTCATGACAACTGTATGGGGGTTGAATTGTTGTATAACTCACCCATTTAAATTGTATTAAAGTTTAACACTATGCATAATTAAGGGTGTGGTGGCTTTGAGTGACAGGTGGACACTGTCATAGGACAGTCCCATGACTGCATCAGCTCCACATCTTTTCTCAATGTCTGATTAGTTATGAGGAGTCAGGTACTGCCAAGATGGTAACAGCTGACACGATGACACTGAGCTTCAAAACTGCTCTTCAGAAAACCTACAGCTGATGGACGGATGGTCCGTCTTGATAGAAACTCTTTGGTAGCTTCGCTGTCTTAGTTGTAGCAGCATTTCATTTTCTTTGTGGTAGTTTCCGTTACAGTCTGCTTAAACCTGTACAGGGTTTGACTTTGTGGTGACTGTCAAGTTTCCTCGTTCGTGACAGTGGAGCAAAGATGGTGAAAAATTAACCTGCATTCAACAGTTCTGTGGTTTCCTGCTTTCTTTACTGCCATGGGAAAAAAACAAACAACATATTTTAGAAAAGAATCTCCTGCAGTGCTGACTTTTAAAAACAAGAACCAATCATAATGTAGGACATTGTCTCAATATGCGAGATGCAGGACAAGAGATAAAAATGCTGTGCAGTCCAGCATTTTCTTCCTAACAACAGACACATATGACGTTTTACACTCACCTTGATGAGCTGCCCATCTGCCGTCCCAATGAAGAAAACCATCCAGGCCTTGTGCCTCACTGCCAGCACAGAGGTCATGTTGTTCTGCCTGAAGAGCACCGCCTTCGGCTTCAGGGTCTTTGCCTGAGAAGCAGAAACACGGTGATCATTAGGTCTGGATCAGATGGTGTTTATACATAATCAAAGATAGAACTTTAGGTCCTACTTAAAGAATCAGCTAGCCAGAGCTTCATTAACTGCTGCTGCTGCTGCTGGATCACTGAGAGCGCTCAAAGTCAGTCATGTTCAGTCATTTCTGTTTGTTATTTGCTCTCTCATTAAACACGAGGCACAACAGGGAGGTGCAATCATATGTAGGACTTGGAACTTTATTGGTTTAGTTAAATTTAGAACGATGCAAATATTGTCTAAAGCAGGAACAACAGATTCTGAGAAAATTAGCTTTTATAATATTTTATTATAATAACAATTTAAATATATATGTCATCCAGGCGTATTTTAAATCTGCCTAGGTGAAATAAATATTTTGATTTCATTGAGACAAGATTGAAATTTTGATTTG